TATATGTTTAAATTTTTAACATAAATTACATTGTGGCATAAATTGTATTCTTCTTTCATAAAATATTAGGTTTTTAAGACTTATCCACATTATTTATATAATGTGCTTTTTTGTTGTTGTTGTTGTTTTTTTGAGACAGAGTCTCGCTGTGTCACCCAGGCTGAGTGCCCGCCATCACGGCCGGCTAATTTTTTTAGTAGAGGACGGGGTTTCACCATGTTAACCAGGATGGTCTCGATCTCCTGACCTCATGATCCGCCCGCCTCGGCCTCCCAAAGTGCTGAGATTACAGGCGTGAGCCACCTTGCCCAGCCTAGGTTTTGCTTTTTTAGGAGAGATGGGGTTTCACCATGTTGGCCAGGCTGGTCTCGAACTTCTGACCTCAGGTGATCTGCCCACCTCAGCTTCCCAAAGTGCTGGGATTACAGGCGTGAGCCACCACAGCACCTCTCTCTCTCTCTCTCTCTATATATATATATATATAAAACTTTTTTTTTTTTTTTTGAGATAGTCTGTGTTGCCCACGCTGGAGTGCAGTGGTGCAAGGTTGGCTCCCGGGTTCAAGCAATTCTCCTGCCTCAGCCTCCCGAGTAGCTGGGACTAGAGGTACGTACCACCATGCCAGACTAATTTTTTGTATTTGTAGTGGAGACGGGGTTTCACCATGTTGCCCAGGCTAGTCTTGAACTCCTGAGCTCAGGTGATCTGCCCGCCTCGGCCTCCCAAAGTGCTAGGATTACAGGTGTGAGCCACCACACCTGGCCCATAAATTTTTTTTTTTTTTTTTTTGGACAAAATTTCACTCTTGTTGCCCAGGCTAGAGTGTAATGGCGCGATCTCCGCTCACTGCAAACTCCACTTCCTGGGTTCAAGTGATTCTCCTGTCTCAGCCTCCCAAGTAGCTGGGATTACAGATGCATGCCACCACGCCCGGCTAAGTTTTGTATTTTTAGTAGAGACGGGGTTTCATCATGTTAGTCAGGCTAGTCTCCAACTCCTGATCTCAGGTGATCCACCTGCCTCAGCCTCCCAAAGTGCTAGGATTACAGACATGAGGCACCGCACCCAGCCCCTGTATTTTTTAAAAAGGACTTTCAGGCCCGGTGCGGTGGCTCACACCTGTAATCCCAGCACTTTGGGAGGCTGAGGTGGGCAGATCTCAGATCTGCAGAGCTGAGATCTCACCACTGCACTCTACCCTGGGCGACAAGAGCAAAACACGTCTCAGAAGAAAACTGAAATTAAAGTATATAAAAAAAGCACTTGTATGTGAGGCAGGTGTAGCAGTTATACCTATTGTTATAAATTAGGAAACTGAAAAACAAATAATGGGACTTAAATCTTAGAGTAAGCAGTGATGTCTAAACTAGAATCTAGATTCCCCAAAATCTAGGTATGAAGTCTTTTTATTTAACACACCTGTAGGTAATTCTATATAAATGTATTATTTGTCTTTTTTTTTTTCTTTTTAGTTGGAGTCTCGCTCTGTAGCAGATTGGAGTACAGTGGCGTGATCTCGGCTCACTGCAATCTCCGCTTCCCGGGTTCAAGCAATTTTCCTGCCTCAGCCTCCCGAGTAGCTGGGACTACAGGCACCCACCACCATGCCTGGCTACTTTTTGTATTTTTAGTAGAGACAGGGTTTCATCATATTGGCCAGGCTGGACTCGAACTTCTGACCTTGTGATCCACCCACCTTGGCCTCCCAAAGTGCTGGGATTATAGGTGTGAGTTACCACGCCTGGCCTATTTTTCTTTAAATCACAAAGAAATAGAACAGACATGTTTGCAGTAGGTAATATATACAATCATGTTAAAAAGAGACTTCATATTAATTCTAATCCTGCAAAAGCATTAACAATTTATCTTAAAGAAAAAGTCAATCAAGTTTCACATTTTTTTTGTTTTTTTTTTTTGAGACGGAGTCTCGCTCTGTCGCCCAGGCTGGAGTGCAGTGGCCGGATCTCAGCTCACTGCAAGCTCCGCCTCCTGGGTTCACACCATTCTCCTGCCTCAGCCTCCCGAGTAGCTGGGACTACAGGCGCCCGCCACCTCGCCCGGCTAGTTTTTTGTATTTTTTTAAGTAGAGACGGGGTTTCACCGTGTTAGCCAGGATGGTCTCGATCTCCTGACCTCGTGATCCGCCCGTCTCGGCCTCCCAAAGTGCTGGGATTACAGGCTTGAGCCACCGCGCCCGGCCAAGTTTCACATATTTTTATTTCTCCGTAAAAGTAACTTCACAACCTACTAAAAATAAAAATTTAACTGCATTCAGTTTCTGTTCATTTTTCTATTAAAGAAAGCACAAGATAAAGGATAGCTGTGTTCAAGTAATGTGTAATTATGACACACAGATTGAATCAAGTACGTACATAAAATGTTAAAACATGAAAATGTATAGTTCTCTTACCATTTCCTTTCTGAACTCATAAAATATAATCAGAAAAATTAAAAGAAACATGTTTTATTATTGTAACATATTTTATTTAATTAAAAATGTTTTGGTGTGTTAGCAATTTCTGTAAAGTAGCACTCCTTAAATAAGTTCCTAAAAATAATATTGGAGCCTTGAACATTTATCTTAGCTAAAAAAATTATTCTAAAACTGTCATGATAAAAAAGGTTACAAAATTTCTCTTTATTCTAGTTCTCAATTCCTTCTCCAGAATTTTAATACAAAAGGAATTTTCAGACACAAATAGTCACCAGATAATGCATACTATAATTTAGCAGACTTAACCAAACAATAAACACCCTTACAAAAGTGCCACTGTTGTATCACTTTGTGCTATACTCTTCTCCCTATACATCTTTAATAGTGGTCACTTCTACTTTACTTCTAGCATTCAATTTAGACATCTCAACCCCAAATTTAATAATTTATCAAAAATTTGTTTTGAGAACAAAATTTCTACAAATTATTTAACAAATCAAAGCAGAACCTTTAATTGTAGAACACAAATGAAAAATAATACACAAGAAAACTTATCTCTTCAACTTCAAGGCTAATACCTGGGTGTTGGAAAATTGGCCAAAGATAAATACATTTTACTATAAAGTATTTATTTTTCTGCACTGGGTCAAGATTTCTATTTTAAAAGATATGTTACTTGGCCGGGCGCGGTGGCTCAAGCCTGTAATCCCAGCACTTTGGGAGGCCGAGGCGGGCGGATCACGAGGTCAGGAGATCGAGACCATCCTGGCTAACACGGTGAAACCCCGTCTCTACTAAAAATACAAAAAGAAATTAGCCGGGCGTGGTGGCGGGCACCTGTAGTCCCAGCTACTCCGGAGGCTGAGGCAGGAGAATGGCGTAAACCCGGGAGGCGGAGCTTGCAGTGAGCAGAGATCGCGCCACTGCACTCCAGTCTGGGCGACAGAGCGAGACTCCGTCTCAAAAAAAAAAAAAAAAAAGATATGTTACTTATGATACTGTCATTTCAAAAAAGGGCTTTCCAAGAAGCCTTTAGTAAAGTTCTTCTATGCTGGGTATATACTTGGTTCCTGTATGTTTCAGTCTGAACTATTTGAGAATTACTTATTTGTTGAACATAGTCTATTAGAAAAAAAATACTAAACCGCCGGGCGTGGTGGCTCATGCCTATAATAATCCCAGCACTTTGGGAGGCTGAGGTGGGTGGATCACCAGGTCAGGAGATGGAGACCATCCTGGCTAACATGGTGAAACCCCGTCTCTACTAAAAATACAAAAAAAATTAGCCGGGCCTGGTGGCGGGCGCCTGTAGTCCCAGCTACTCGGGAGGCTGAGGCAGGAGAATAGTGTGAACCCGGGAGGCGGAGCTTGCAGTAAGCCGAGATTGCGCCACTGGACTCCAGCCTGGGCAACAGAGCAAGACTCCGTCTCAAAAAAAAAAAAAAAGAAAAGAAAAAGAAAAACATACTAAATCACAATTTTTATCAAACAGTTCAAAGTTTTCAACAATGTCTATAAATGTATTCTTATACACCTGTATTCCTGATAGTATTACTCTGTAGTACGTTCATAGCAAGTATATGAAGTTTCCTATTTTCTGGGGCAATATTCAGCGTACTGAAAGTTAACTGCATTTAAAATCATTATAAACCAAAAAACATGTCAAATAGCATATCGTATTATTTTGTTTTTGTTTTTGTTTTGTTTTGAGACACAGTCTTGCTCTATCCCCCACACTGGAGTGCAGTGGCGTGATCTCAGCTCCCTGCAACCTCCGCCTCCTGGGTTTAAGTGATTCTCCTGCCTCAGCCTCCTGAGTAGCTGGGACTACAGGTGCATGCCACTGCGCCCAGCTAACTTTTGTATTTTTAGTAGAGACAGGGTTTCACTGTGTTGGCCAGGCTGGTCTTAAATTCCTGACCGCAGATGATCCACCTGCCTTGGCCTCCCCAAGTGCTGAGATTACAGGCGTGAGGATTATCATATTCTAAATGGCAATTGAGCATTAAGACTATAAATAAGTCACAGCAGTAAAAATTAAACCTAAAAGAAAAATGTATCCAATGTGACACATTTTCAATATTTACAGAGCATCCTAAATATGGAATTAAAAAAAATCACACAAGGTAGAAGCAAAAAATCTATGAAAAGATTAAAAATTACTATTATAACTGATTGTATCATTAAGTGCAAACTCAAAAGAACTCAAGTATTTGTTGTAGGAAAAGAAAGTATACCTTTCATATACTTCTGATTCACCCAGTATGAAAACTAGTCATATTTTAAAGAGATAAATAATTTTTTTTTTTGAGATGGGGTTTCTCTCTTGTTGCCCAGGCTGGAGTGTAATGGCGAGATCTCCGGCTCACTGTAACCTCTGCCTCTCGGGTTCAAGAGATTCTCCTACCTCAGCCTCCCGAGTAGCTGGGATTACAGGCATGTGCCACCACACCCGGCTAATTTTGTATTTTTAGTAAAGATGGGGTTTCTCCATGTTGGTCAGGGTGGTCTCGAACTCCCAACCTCAGGTGATCTGCCCACCTCAGCCTCCCAAAGTGCTGGGATTACAGGCATGAGCCACCATGCCCAGCTTAAAGAGATAAATAAATAAGTGATCCTTAGAAGAAATGGAACAGTTTGTAAGAAAGATAAGTTTCAGACTTTTTGCTAGGAGGGAAAACTATTAAGGCTACATACTCTATCATTCTAGAACCATCTCCTTCAGAATGCTTCTGGGTGACCTTTTCAAGATAAATTTTTAAAAATACAGTAAAAGATAGTAGTGTCAGTTGTTTGTGGGTGAAAATATAAACCCAACACTGGATATAATACAGATCAGAAAATTTTATTGTTGAGATTACTTAAGGTTGTAAAAAAAAAAATTTACCTTTTGCTTGTTCTCATACTGATATGTTATCACTCCATTTCTAAGGATTCCAAGTCAATTAATTTAGAACTTTTAAAAGTATTAATGATCCCTACTGTACCAAACTGTGCATGCTATAGTTCATCAATCTTACTCTTCCAACAAACCTAGAGATCTAAGTAAGATGAAAATGACAGCAGTCTCCATAATCTTAAAATCTAGGTGAAACAAATGTCCTTATGGTCCAATAATGTGTGTAATAAAATGTAACCAGGTCACCAGACCAACATACTAGTGTGTAACTTTAATTAAATTTCTAGCAGCAAAACACCTGAAATAGCCAATAACAAATGTTTTCATTGGATTGTACATTCATTTCTTTGTGAGAAATAATTTTAAAAAGTACTCTATTGTTCAACTGCAAGCAAACATGAAAGATATCAAAGATCTTGCTTTTCTCCATCTTTCCCAGTGGAATCAGGTGCGACTGGAACCTTATTAGTTTCAACAAAAACAGATTCAAAGGCAGCTTCCTGTTCATCCAAAGAATCAGCAACCATGGCTCCTTTAGGTAGTGTTGGGTTGGTAAAAGAAGGTTGCTGCTTGGAAATTTTACTTGATTCCACCGTTTTCCTACCTTTTCTTTTACCAAGAATTTTGACATAATTTGCAGGTATAAGTCCTGTTGTTTGGCCATCAAGACTAGCCAGAAGCCAACCACGCACTTTGGGTTGTTGTTCTGATGGAAAAAAAAGACAGTCTTGTAATTACAATATACTTTGGAGGTCCAACAGAATATTAATGGTAAAGTATCATATTCAGGAAAATCTGTTATGCTTACATAGTAGATAACAAATAGTACATGCATATATCTTCAAAATCAAATGCTGAGTAGGCTTAACAGTTCTAGGATCCATTCTTCTATTTTTATTTTATACTTACTAAATATTTCCTTCTACCTTGAAGAACATACAGTTTATATCAGTTGGTCCATTCATAGAGTAAGGAGATTTAGTTCTCTCAAAACTGAAAACAATGTCTTTCATATTTTAAATTGGAGTCTAAGAAATGAAGATCTCATTCCTTCTCAACTGTGTAAGTTAGGAATAAGTATAGAAAAGATATACCTTTACGCACTCAGCTTTCTTAGCCTACTTTTGGCAAAAATATAAAATTCATTTCATGTGATTATGATAAACAATCCTGAAGATAGTGAATATTAATTTCAATCCAAGATGGGCAAAAAATTGAAGACCTCTGTTATTTCTAGTCATATGATAAATAAAGGCAATATTCTAAGCTTAAAGTAAGGAAGATTATTTAATGTATTCAATTTTCTATGGTATTTTCCTATCTTATCTATATCTTTAAAAAGCTGCTTAACTGTTACAATTTTAGTTCAACATTATAATTTAGGCACAATATAAGACTTTTTAATGTTTAATGCTCTATAATAACAGAAAAAAACAAATTTACCATGTCTATGACTGATTTTGTTCCAAATGCCCAAACATACGTTTCTTGAGCAATGGAGGAAAGCCAAGAAGCAAGCTAGTGTTGAGGCACTATTCATTGAAGAATGAAATATAAAATTTTTCTGAAGTGTTATTAAGTAACTGAAAGAAACCACATGACCCCTAATGAAAATTATCTGTGTTGTTCCTGTCCCTAACAATAAATCTTTAAAAAATCACTCGTTTGAAACCCAAAATAGTAAATTGCTATTTTCCCTATAAGAAAAATACGAGTAGGCCAGGCGTGGTGGTACACATCTGTAATTCCAGCACTTTGGGAGGCCGAGGTGGGTGAATCACAAGGTCAGGAGTTCAAGACCAGCCTGACCAACATGGTGAAAGCCTGTCTCTACTAAAAATACAAAAACTAGCAGGGTGTGGTGGCATGTGCCTGTAGTCCCAGCTACTCAGGAGGCTGAGGCAGGAGAATTGCTTGAACCTGGGAGATGGAGGTTGTAGTGAGCTGAGATGGTACCACTGCACTCTAGCCCGGGCAACAGAGCGAGACTCTGTCTCAAAAAAAAAAAAAAAAAAAAAAGGGAAAAAAGAAAAATGTGAATAGAATACCTAAAAGTCTAGAGGTTTGTATTTTATTTTTTTCTTGAGACAAGGTTACGCTACATTGCCCAGGATGGAGTACAGTGGTGCTATTCCACAGGTGTGATTACAGTGTACTACAGCCTCAAACTCCTGGCCTCAAGTGATCCTCCTGCCTCAGCTTCTTGAGTAGGTGGGACTATAGGCACACACCACTGTACCTCGCTTAAGTCTAGGATTTTTGTAATAGGGATGAGGCAAAGATTTAGTAATCTCATCCCAAATTTTCAATTATTTACATAGTAATGATTTCAACTACTTGCATAGTAATGAACATTGAAGGTATTTCTTCCCTGCATAGAATGACCAAAGCCAAAAAAATGGTGAAGTTTCCATTAATAGATCCTTCCATGAAAAAACAGCCAGAGTTGTTGAAAGCACAAGGTCTCAAGTTAGACAAACCTAGATTCATAGTCCAGCTCTATTGCACCTTGGCTTTGTGACACTGGACAATTTACTTATTCTGAGTCTCAGTTTCTTCAAGTGTAAAACAAGGACAGGATAATAACTGTACCACTTCACAGTATTATTGTAAGGGTTAAATGAAATATGTAAAATACAGTACTTTGTATATAGTAAGTACTCAATAAATAATATGTTATTGTTATTAGTACCTTTATCAACAAAACATCACTTTTTGCAATAAACTTGAATCCCCACAAACACACATATTAAATAAAATCCATAAAAATTCTGATAATCATTACTCAGGAAAGGTGAAGGAAAAGGTCATTTTGCCTAGAGTCATTAAAAAGTATCAGTGACTTGGTCCAAAAATAAACCTGAGATGTGTATAAATTTCTTGCTGGGGTTCTATAATACTTCATGACAATATTTCCTAAAATACTCATGATGAAATTTCTGAAGTAAACACTATTGAAGTAATAAAGAAGCAACACCAGTCCCAGTAATCAAGGACTAACAGTAATGCTTAGATGATGCTAGATAATTTCTTTGCTTTATTAGATTTGTTATGTTTAGTTACTGACATCACATTTTTGTGTGGGGATTAACAGTTTGAAATTCAAGTATTTTGAGTTTAGAAAAGCCTATATAAATAAAGCCTTTCCTTATCTCAGTGAAATACTATTAGAATAGCTGCTGGGGCATTTCTTCCTGACTCCTCCAGATTTAGAAGCTCTAAATTGACATGAAAAAGAAGTTCTAGTAACTATCTCTAAGTTAACTAACAACGAACAAGATCATTTGTTGTAGTTTTTAATACTGCATTTATGAATATCAAAATTTACAGATAATTCCAACTTATTCATAATTTATTACCTTTGAGAGCTAAGTTTAGCATATCACCAGCCCGGAAAGAAATTTCTTCTTCAGATACGGCAGCAAAATCATATTCTGCTCTGGCGACTACATGGTCATCCTCACCACTTGCCCAGTTGATGCTGTCTATAAGCCAAATTAAAATTAGGTTAATAAAATTTACAAAAGAAAAGTGCAGATATTTCACGGCCTATGGTTTGCAAACTGCATAAATTTGCCAAGAGAAAAGTCCTCCCCTCCCAAGTAAAATCTATAATGAATACTATGTTAAATCAACAATAGATCCACTAGAGATACCTATTATGAACTTTTTCCTTTCTTTAAGTTCCACTCTCCAGCTCCCTTACCGTGAGGCAGGGGTTGGCAAATTTTTTCTGCAAAGGGTCAGAGAGTAAATATTTTAGACTTTGAAAGCCAAGAGGCAAAACAGGATATTGTGCAATTCCTTATATAAAAAGAGGAAACAAAATTTCCATAAATTTATTGACAAGATTAAAAATACAATAACCATGTTCCTTTTTTGTAATACAGGTCTATTTGGAAGTTACTTAGAAGAATGAAATATTTTGGGGGAAGGATATTTCACTTAATTGGAATTCAATTATAAATATTCATTTGCTAATTCTAATTTGTAATAAAATTTGAGGTACTGCATTTTTGAAAATGCCTTTTCACACTGATAGGTAAGGTCAAATCCTAATATCAGTCTATGAGTATGTGGTTTTAATTGAGCATATTTATTAGATGGGAGAGTAACAGGCCAGAATATAATTCTGTTAAATTCTTCTCTTGATATTTGCCTTTTACCATGTTATTACATTGCAGATTAATCACTTCCAAATGAAGATTAAGTGAAAATTCCTCAATCGCATAGTTAAATGGATTTTGAAATATGGAAATTTCCTTTGTGCTTGCATGGAGGTAAAAAAAATGGTCTGGCATCGTATTAGCTTAAGCTTGGAAAATGTATCTGCTGCCAACTTGCATGGGAATGGAGATACTGCTTGTGTTAACTTCTGATGGTCTGAGAGGTATATAAAGCAGTGTGACATTACTTGTGAGTCAAACTATACTAGGTGTCGTCAAAACTTTACTCCAGTGTAAGTTTTGCATATAAGCATTGTTCTGCTTTGTGGTTTCAATTTCAATTACTTAAGAATATAGGCCAGGCACAGTGGTTCATGCCTGTAATCTCAGCACTTTGGGAGGCCGAGGCGGGTGGATCACCTGAAGTCAGGAGTTTGAGACCAACCTGACCAACATGGAGAAACCCTGTCTCTACCAAAAATACAAAATTAGCCGGGCATGGTGGCACATGCCTGTAATCCCAGCTACTCAGAAGGCTGAGGCAGGAGAATCGCTTGAACCCGGGAGGCGGAGGTTGTGGTGAGCTGAGAGCGCGCCATTGCACTCCAGCCTGGGCAACAAGAGCGAAACCCTGTCTCAAACAAAAAGAATATGAACAAGTCAGCTAGGCATGGTGGCTCATGCCTGTAATTCCAGTACTTTGAGAGGCTGAGATAGGGAATTGCATGAGTCTAGGAGTTCAAGACCAACTTGGGCAACATAGGGAAACCTTGTTTCTACAAAAAAGTAAACAAAATTAGCCAGATGTGGTGGCATGACCCTATAGTCTCAGCTTGAATCGCCTGAACCTGGGAAGCAGAGGTTGCAGTGAGCTGAGACTGCACTACTGCACTGCAGCCTGGGCAACTGAGCGAGGCCCTGTCTCAAAAAGAAAACAACAACAAAGAATATAACTAAGTCTGGGCTGGACATGGTGGTTCATGCCTGTAATCTCATTCAGCACTTTGGGAGGCTGAGGCAGGATTGCTTGAGGCCAGGAGTTCAAGACCAGCCTGAGCAACACAGTGGGATCTTGTCTCCACAATAAATAAATATTAGCCAGGTGTGGTGGTGTGTACTACTAGTACTAGCTACTTGGGAAGCTGAGGTGGGAGAATCATGTGAGCCCGAGTATGAGGTTGCAGTGAGCTATGATTACGCTACTGCACTCCAGCCTGGCTGACAAAGTAAAACCCTGTCTCCAAAAAGAACTCAGAATTTAACTAAGTCTGCAGTAAAAGGTGATTTCCAAAGCTGAATGGGTTTAATAACAATAGCTGAAAAGGCGTTCTGTTCAGAAAAATTTCATTCTTGGCCTCAATCTCAAAAAAATAAAACTTAAGCCTTGTTCTGCCATTGAATTGCCATGCGGTAGGGCAAGTAGGGATCTTCAGCTTCTATATCTGACAAAAATTCACAAAACTGACAATGATTATGTCACAAGAGTGAATAAACTTTACCTCGACACTACCAGTTCAGTAACACATGATAAATTCAAATATTTTCTGCAATGTACCTGCTGATGAATAATAAAATGAATAACCACAGACAAAAAACCTGTATTTGCAAAAGTTTAACTTTTGTCCAACTAGGCCTTTTCCTGCTCCACCTATATTTTTCACCATTATCAGGTGCAACACATCTTAGCAGATTCAGGTTGTATAGAATCAGTGTTTTCACCTTCTTAGAAAATGTTCTTATCTGTAGTTGAACCATGACTATTCACAGAGGCTAATTCTTCAGTCATTTCCAATTCATCACTGACTTCTCAAACAACTAAGCGGTACTGTCTTTTTTTTTTTTTTTTTTGGTAGAGACAGGGTTTCACCATGTTAGCCAGGATGGTCTTGATCTCCTGACCTCGTGATCCGCCTGCCTCAGCCTCCCAAAGTGCTAGGATTACAGGCGTGAGTCACCGCACCTGGCCTTTGTTTTATGCTACTTTAACAGAATACTACAAACTGGGTAATTTGTAAAAAATAAAAGTTTATTTGCTCACAGTTCTGAGGACTAGGAAATCCGAGATCAAGGGGCATTTGTTAAGGGCCTTCTTGTTGTGTCGTAACATGGCAGGAGGAATCACGAGGCAAGAGAGTGCATGCAAGAGAGTAAGAGGGCCGAACTAACTTGTATAACAAACTCACTCTCAAGATAATGAACTCACTCCCATGATGGTAACATTTAGCCAACAAATTTAGCAAGTATTCATATCCATTGGGTCATGATGAGCCAAGGAAAAACATTCAAATCATTTGTTTTATTTTAAGTTGGCCATGTTGTTCAAAATGTCATCAACTCTTCAAGAAACTGTTCTCACTGAGAAGCTAATAACCTTAGACAAGTCTACTTACTCTGGACATATTTTTTTGGCTGTTGCAATTACAAGTAAACAGGTTTCCTTGCCTGGGTAACACATGAACCTCTCAGGAACTTATTTTGGTTGCAGCCTCATTTTATTTTATTTTTCTTTTGATGAGGAAATTCTGCTGCGATGAGAATTCCATTTTAAATTTTCTAATTTTTTTGACTGTTGGTTTTCTGTGATGAGTGCTCAATCTGGTAATGTTGATTTGTAGTATAGCCATTTAACATAGCTATAGTGTCACTGTATAATAAATATAGTTCTTTACCATCTAATTCAATAACAAAAAAATTCATACTATATTGTACCTTGAAAGTATGACACTCAAAGTACACCTTTTTCTTGTGTGCCATGTATGTATTTGTAATTTCACCAAAAAAAAAAAAAACACTGTGGTTTAACAATGTATATATTACTCATCATGCTATCAAGTTATAACTCAGTTACTGAAATTTGTAGTGGGCAGAGCAAAAGTGAAGCCATTGGAATTTCACATACAGTCTCTATGCAAACTATTCAATTCTGCTGTTACAGTGGAAAAGCAGCCATAACAGTATGTATGAAAATAAGTTTAGCTGTGCTCCAATATAACTTTATTAATGAAATTTGAATTCTATATTATTTTCCCATCACAAATTATTTCAATTTTTAAAACAATCTTTTAATTTTCCAACAACTGAAAAGTATAAAAACCATTTTTAGCTTGTGAGCTGTACAAAAATAGGAGGTCAGATTTGGCCCACAGGACATGGTTTGCCAATCCCTGCTCTAAGCAGCTAAAGTAATAGGACCTCAGTTTTGCTTCTCCTCAAAAATCTCTTTGTATTACCGATTTCCTCTCCTTTTGACTCAGATAAAAAACTGTCCTTCCTTTTTACCTGCCAGGTTCTGTAAGATCACACCCTCTCTTACTTCCTATAGGAGCTTCTTCATCATTTAACTCGTATCTTTCCCTTATTTATAACTGCTCCTTCTCTACTGACTCCTTTCTTTCAGCCTAACAACATTCTCAGATCTCCTCACTTCTGAAAAGACAAAGCAAAACAAAAAACTGACAATCACCCACCACAACAACTTGATCACTCAATTTGGCCATTCTTTTCCTCCCTCCTTCCATTCACTGCTAATCTTTTCTTTTTCACTTCTGACTTTATTTACCCTTTATCCTCTGCAGTTTGTCTTCTCACTACCAAAACTACTTCCTGGAGTGTGATGATTTCCAGTTGCCAGATCTAATAATCTCTTCTCAGTTCTTGATCTTATCGTAGAACCTTACATCATTCATCATCCTTCCACCCTTCCTCCATAATGCAGCAATAATATGGTTCTATTTCTGTTCTTCCTGATTTCCATCTTATTCTGTCTTCTTTTGTCTTTCTATGATAGTAGTATCATTCACTTACATTAGTTCTTCCATTTATTTGAGACAGGGTCTTGCTGTGTCATCCAAACTGGAGTACAGTGGTACAATCTCAGCTCACTTCAGGCTCAACTTCCAGGACTCAAGCCACCCTCCCATTTCACCCTCCCAAGTAACTGGGACTACAGGCATGCACCACCACACCCGGATAATTTTTGTAATTGTTGTAGAGATAGGTTTTCCCTACGCTGTGCAGGCTGACCTTAAACTTCTGGGCTCAAGCGATTTGCCAGGCTCAAGCGATCTGCAGGCCTCAGCCTCCCAGTGTTGGGATTACAGGTGTGAATAATCCCAATCTGACTGTATCTCAGGACCCATGTCACTGCCATGCTGAGCCAAGCCACCATCATTTCTCACTTGAATTAAGGTAATGGCTGCTTGACTCTCCTGATTGGTCTCTTCTGCCCTAGCTCAACCTAAAAACCATTCTTACCAAAAAGATATATATATATTTAATACTTTAAGTTCTCAGGTACATGTGTACAATGTGCAGGTTTG